CCCTACTGTTCTGTGCCTCAGTTTCCCCATCTGTAATATGAGGGCACACATGGGGCCCGGGCTCTGGGGCTGCTGGGGGATTATATGGGTTCTGATTCTGCCCGTGAGTGTCCCAGGTGGTTCACACACACACAGACTCCGGGTCGGGCCCACCCGCAGGGACTTACAGCTGGAGTCCTGCCCCTCCTCCTTTGCCCAAGTCTTCACTTATTGAGTGTCACCGTATTGACCCGTTATCGAGCTGCTGCTAAGTCCCTTAAGTCTCTCATAATCTGGTGTTCTCAGCCTTCTCTGCATGAGGAGCATCTCCGTAAGCTCCGGCCAGGGCACAGGCCCTCACTCTCGCTGCATGGCCTCCTGGGGCCTCCAGGCTACAGGCAGGGTAGTGGGGGTGCGGTGGGGATCAGTGCCTGCCTGCTGGGCCCTGACCAAGAGGGGCCTCAGCAGCCGGGCCGGGACGAGGATGAGGTGAGTGAGGCACCCGGGGCACAAACTGAGGGAGGCGCTCACACTCGGGTTGTGCCATGTCAGCCCCCGAGAGAGTGGCTGCTTACATCTGCAACCCTGGGCCCCCACTCACCTCAGCCTAGCCCTGGACCGTCAGATGAACCCCTGACGTGGGGCTTGCAGTGTGAGGGCGGCTCTCCACACCAAATGGGGGAGAGGCTGAGTGTAGGAGAGGGATTCGAGGATGGGGCCTGAGGAGAACCGGGGCTGGTGGTGGTGAGCGCCAGACACATGACTTGGCTGAGGGGGGTGGGGGTGGGACGGCAGGAAGGCCCCTTGCAGCGCCTGTGGCCACCAGCAGGTTGCAGCACGGGCTGGCTTTGGAGGCTAGGAAGCAGATTGGGGACCCAAGTGGGCAGTGCCTTCAGGGTGCCCTGTCAGGCCCCAACACCCTCCTGTTCTTACGATTTGTCTGAGACTCCTTTCTGGAATGGCGTAGGAGAAGAGCCAGGACCCTGGCTCTGAGCCTGATAATCTCAGTCTCTGGGCGCTGATCTCTTCCTCTGTAAGACGAATGACAGTCGGGTCTCGCAATGGACACTTGGAATAAAGTGAGATTGTGTAGGATCATGCCCATCAGGGGTAACTGTTACGAAGACCAGGTTCTGGCCATTGTCGGGCTGTGGATACCTGTGAGCTGAATGGCAGTCCTGCCGGCACGGGGAAGTCTGACCCGGCCCTCCCTCCATGAGTGATCCACTGTGTCGGGCCCGTGGCGTGAGCTCCATAGATCACACGTCGTTATTATTTATTATTACTGTTATTATTAGTGGCATTGTTGTTACCCCGAGCTCTTTTATCTCTTGCTGCACCCCAGGAAGTAGAGCTGACTACCCCTCCTAACCCAGGCCTCCAGGCCTCCCAGGGAAATGTACTAAGGGCTGGGTGAATTGCTAATGGCCAGGGCGAACACATCCTTCCTCCCCTGTTCAACCAGTAGCTAGAGGACAGGAGGCCCGTCAGCTCCAACGGCTAGGACGTCTGCCATTGTCCCCTCTCTACATGCTCCCAGGCCAGACCCCGGGGTGCAGCTGGGTATAGGAGAAGTTGAGGGGATTGGCTGGGCCTCACCCAGGAGACACTGGGGAAGCCCCAGCAAGTGGGCACATCAATCAGGAAGACAGGAGCGGGAGTAGTGTGAGAGACTGGGAGACCGGGCCTCCTTGACAGTGCCCTGTGAGGCCTGGGCGGCCCCGGGGGGGGGGGGGGAGATGCTGGCCCCTGGCGACCATGTATCAGGAGAACAGAGGACTGGTGGACAAGGTCATGGGTCCTCCCCCGCAATACTACACATGTACATGGACATGGGACCAAGATCCAGGCCGCCACGAAGCCTCAGAAGGGATGCAGTCCTAGCCCTCGCCTAAGAAAGCTGGGCTGAATCTGGGGCCCTTTCCCGGGGATGCCCATTTGTAAGAGGTGTGGGGACATGCCCTGCCTCCTGCCAGGCTAAAGGACCAGGAAGGTGGAGGCTTGGAGGACCTTGCCCACCTCCCCACCCTCCCACCCCGTGGGTGCAGACAATGTTGTGCCCAGGCTGTACCAAGTTCAAACCCAGGCCCTGATGTGCCCTGCACCGGCTGTACATGGAGCCCTGGGCTGCTTTCCCCTCATGGCTCAGTTGCAAGGTCCTCACTGATGAAATGGGAGTGAGACAGCCCACTTTCCCCAGCCATGGTGGGCATTAGACATGATGCATGTTGGTCCCTAGCCAGAGCCACTCTGGGCCTCCCTCCTTCCCCTGACCCCCAGCCCACACAGGAATCCCAGGCCTACCACCTTCATGGATGCATCCAGGCACCCAGAGAGTTACCTCTCAAACAGAACCGTGAGACAGAAAGGGACCCTCCAAAGCTGAGGGGACATCCTGCCCAGGGTGGGCGGTCTCTGCCCCAGAGTGCATTTCTCTGGCCAGGGGCTAGGAAAAGGAATCCCCTTCCCAGACAGGTCTCAGCCCCATCTACCCCTCTGTTCCTCACCCAGACACCCTCCTGGCCTGAGTGAGCCTCTAGATGCCAGGGTTCCACTGTGGTGGAGGAGACTACCTCTACTCCTTGCCCCTCCCCCTGCACACTTGCTGACCTTCCTCTGGCTCCCGCAGGTGTGTGGAGGTGGTCTCCCCCAGGGAGAACACACACCTGCCCTGAGCTTCCATGTGCAGAATCCAAGCAACCAGGGTGACGAGTGGGGGTGGGGCCGCTGCCAAGGGGCTTTGAGGTGGGGGCAAGGGAAGAGCTGAGGGCAGCCCCAGGTGCAGGTGGGATGGCATCCCAACCTCACCCCTCTCGGCCTTACCTGAGGATCTCCATGCTCTCCCCTTCCCCTTCTCCCTGCACCTTCTGCTTACATACTTCTTGTTCATTTCTCAGCATCGCTGGCCTTTCAAGAGCCATAGATGGCCCTGCACACCCAGAGATAGCCCTGCCCGCAGCTGTCCCCTGTCCCGAGCCCGCAGAGGCCAGCAGGATGGGGACGCCAGACCAGCAGCTCCTGCGGTTCCTTCGGATACCCTCAGCCAAGACCCTCCACACTGAGGACTGCTGAGGGGTGATGCCGGACAGGATGGGCTGGGGTCACCTGCCCTCGGCCTTTGACTGCCCCCCAGGCACACCTGGACCTTGTCCCTGTCTTTTTTTGCATAAAGACGCAGCTATAAAGACACAGACATGCAATGCGTGCATATATACACATCGCACACGCACACATTCATCCTTCGCTCCTGTTTGACACCTGCCTCCTCCCATCTCAAATGGAGATGCAGATACCAACCAATGGAGCTGGTTCACTGACAGGACCAGAGTGCTGGACTCAGTAATATTTCTGGAAGGAATCCACCACAAGGTCAGACTGCTCTACTGGAGTTTCTGGGCTCGCCTCCACGAGAACTTTCCTTTACATTCTGCAGGTGTTCCTGGCGTCTGCCTGCCGCCAGGCAACGGAATTACTGTATCCGCTTTGGCTGGAAGTTGACACTTCACTTCATTAAACTAGATGGCTTCCTCTGAAGGCATCCATCCACGTCCTCCCTCACAGCACCCACTGCAAGCTGCTGTAGCTTCTGCCCCGAAGCCCTGGTTGCTATTCATGAATAGGGGTTTCGCTGATGGATGTGTGTGTGTCCCGAAGGGGCGTTTCCCAAGGGCCTCCATTAGCAGCCGATTTCAGGAGCAGTAAGCATGGGCAGGTGACTGTCTCACTCTGTCTGCCTGGCTGAGGGCGGTGAGGGGTGTTCTGGTCAGCCTGCCAGGCCCACGGTCACAAGGACATGTCAACTGGATCCTTTCACCCCGATATCTATTGATCCCATGCTCTGTGGAAGACCTGGGAACTGGCGGGGAGTTCAGTTCTTCTCCAGGGCTGGGAAAGAGAGCTAGCAAGCAAGAGGTGGGGAGGAGGGAAGAGGAGGTGTCTGTGAGGGGACAGGGATGAGGCAGTGGCCCCGTCACCCACAGAAAGTTGCCCTGTCCACCACCTAGCCATGCCCACCCATGGGAAAGGGGCACGAGGCGGGCAGCCCGAGAGAATGGGGATGGGGTCCTTCTGGAGCCTCCACCCTGGCCCTAGTCCCTAGGTGCTAGCCTTACTCTGCAGGTCCCATTTTTTTAGGGTCCCTCAGACATTGGGTCTTCTGTAGCTCCCACATTATTAGATTGAGGGGTTACCCAATAGGATGGGGGAACAGAGCCCACCCATCCCTTCTCCTCTCACCCCATGGTCCTTAGGAATCCTTCTGTTAGTCTGCTGGGGGAGGGACGCCCCTCTGCAAGACCAAGCAGACTGACAGGCCGGCAGTCTGACCCCAATGTGGGCCTTTACTGAAGGCCCTGCCCCACAACCCTGGCTTCCAGCCCAGCCCTCCACCCTGGAACTGGGGTGCTCACCCCGTCTTTGTTTCCTATGCTGGCCTGAAGGCTCAGCCCTTTAGGGGAAGATCTGCATGTCACCTAGAGTCCTGGTTTGTGGGATTTCCTGTACTATAAATTGGGCAGCCCTGACAGAACCAGGACAGTTGTTCACCTCAAATCCTTCTGAACCCCGTAGGTGGTTTCCACACAAATAACCTTAGCGCTTCCCACCCCCACCTGTCCCCTGCACCCTTGTGCTCCGGGAAAGACCACATTATTTTGTTCCCTTTTCTTCCACACCCAGTTCCTATGGATCCTGAGGCACCCCACCTCCCCCTGGGCCTTGGGGCTCAAGCCCTCTCCCTCCTCAGGCCCCACAAGGTCCTGTCCACTTGGCTTTTCCACCCCGGGTGATGGCAGGCATTGTGATCCCATTCCACAGTTGAGACACGAGGCCCCAGAGCAGCCTGAACTCAGGGCCCGAGGCATTTCATCAGATAGATCGAGGAAAACCAGCCGGGCTGCCCGCTCATTGCTGGGATCCAAGTGACTGTTCCCAGGCCCCCCACAGCCCCTAACCCATCCTGTCCCTCCTGGGGTTTCACACCCCAAGTGTCACAGGCTCACACTCTCTTCGCGTAAACATCTTAATTACATCTTTAATGCTCTCACATGGAGGTGCCAAGTTCCGTTACAGCATCTGTGCGTCCCAAATCACCCGCAGCCCTCCAGTTGGTTCAAGTGCTAATGTATTTAGAGCATCGAGAGGAGGGAATACATCCCAAATCTTCCCCACATGGGTCTCCTAGCCCCTCCCCTCCTGACACGTGGTATTTGCCTGACAGAAGGTATGTGCTGCCACCCCCGTGTCCCCTTCCAACCAGCAGAGGACAGCAACGGCGGGGAGGCTGGGCACGGGGGCGGGGGGCATGCTTCTCTGCATGCTCGTGTGTGCATGCACGTCCAGAGGAGAAGGCTGCCCAGCTCTTGGGGTCTGGCTTGGTCCCATGCCTTGTCCAGATGCCCCAGACTGGTAGAAGAATTCCTGAGGGGTGTCGGGTGGGTGGACAATGGGTGGGTGGGCTGTGCTATCAAAAATTAGGTCTGTTTCCCATGGGGCCATCCCCACCCTCGTTTCAGGCACAGTCGGAATGTCCCCAGATAGCCCACAGCCTGGGACCACTGCCCTCAGACCAGCAGCCTCTCCTACAACCCTAGATCCCCCATATACACCAGGACAGGGAACCGTTGGCAGAAGCCGGTTCCCTGGCTTGTAGAGCCCAGTGAGGAGATGTGGTGGGCAGCAGGACCTTCACCTTGGCTTCCCTCTCCTTTTAGTCCTTGAACACTGAAGGCAGAGACAGTGGCCTATCCTGGTGCCCCTGCACACGTCAAGGGGTGGGGTGGACTTGGAGGGTGGAGCCCATGCAGAGGGTCTCCATCCTATCCTGTGCCAGGACAGGGACATATGCCTGCACGTGAACACATTCATGCACCTGCCTGGGGCCCTCTACACTATTCCCCCACCTCCCAGCTAGAGGCTGGCTGCCAGGGAGGGTGGCTGGGAGGCCTCGTGGACCCTCCAAAATACAGATGGGTCCCAGGTAGGAGCAGCCCTCTTCCTGGCATCCTCGCCCACCAGGCAGCTCTAGTCCATCCCTGGGCTTCTCCCAGGTGCCACCACATCCTGTCCCCAAGACCTGGTTGATTGCCCCTTCCTACTCCAGAGGAGGCTGCAGATTCCAAAGACATGTCTCTCCCTGACAAAGGGGAACCCCTCTCTACTCTCCTCCCCTGCCCCCTCCCATCCCATGTCTCCCCCCACTTCCTCCACATTAGAGGAGCAGACCGTGATGTGACAGGTCTGGGCAGGACACAAGGAAGCCAGCAGTGGCTCTCAACTTTCCTGATACGAAGGATGCCCTCTATGCCAGGGCCCTCAGATCAGGAGACCTCAGTAGCCAGATGTCTAGCCTGGCCAGGGCCCTCTCTTAGAGCCTAGAGAGTCAGCAGGTGGATCCTTGAAACAGCTGGGCCCCAGCAGGGCAGGTCCTGAGAGTGGGTCTTAACAATCAAGCTCAAGGGGCACGATGGCAGATGTCTTCATCAGAGGTCCGGGCCGGTCCTCGGGCCACTCACGCATGGATGGCATTGGCTACATCTGTGAACACCAGCCGGCTGGGCCTCTGCAGTGGGCCCTGAGAAGGGAGCGTGGTCTGCAGAGATACAGTCAAGGGCATTAGGGACCTCGACCAAGGCCACGTACTCTCTGGCCCAGTCACTTCCACCCTTGCTTCCTGGTTTGCCTGTTTGCGCTTGGCACCAGCTATGCCTTCTGCTTGGAATGCCCCCCTTGCAAGCTCAGCCTGGAACTACCATCTGGCTCTGATGACTCCTCCCCGCCCCCAGCCGTCACCAGCTTGCCAGCACGCGCTTACCCTGAGCGCCTAGAGGCTGGATGAACGATGCAGGCACTCCTCTCTCCCAGCAGAAGGGGGCTCACCTCTGCACCCCCCAGCCCTAGCACTGGGGCTGGACCAAGGGAGGTGCCCAGGAAACAACTGTCGAATTGTCAGTCGTCCCATGGGCTGGGTGGACCAAGGTTTTCAGCCTGATTTCCCAAATACCCCGAGTGGGGATGTATCCTGGTCAGTTGCCACAGAACTGGTGGCAAAACCAGGGGTTCTCTGGACTCCCAGTGTGGACTCTTCCTGAGTCCGGTCTCCTAATTCTGCCTCTGGCAGGGCCAGATGCCCCCAGCAACCTGTGGGGCCAAGGCAAGGAGAAATGCAAAGGGGTTTCATGGGTCAGGGAGAGACCAGGCCTCCTCATGGTGCTCTGGCCCTCGGGGATTTGGGGGGCTGGTGGCAACCGGCCACTGGCTCTGGCCCGGTGACCACACAGGTACCCAACCCTTTGGATGTAAGAGGCAAGTTTGGCTAGGGTCGCCATCCGCCCGGGGTCTGTCAGTTACTAGGACCCATGAACCTACTCAGAGGTGCCGCTCTTCCAGAATCTGACCCCCACCACAACCGGCTCAGGAAACATGGGCCCCCAGGGGGGCAAAGGCACCAGGCTCTTAGCCCCCAGCAATCTCTCCCATCAGCTCTCTCCTGCTTTCCTAGCCAAGCCATAGGGGCACAAAGGGCAAGAATTAGAATTTTCACTTGCAGACGAGAAAGCAGGGGCTCAGAGAGGCCAAGGGGGCTGCCAAGATCATGAAGCTAGCAGGGGCAAACCAGCTGGATCCCAGGGCTGCCCTGGCCTTGTGCAGTCAGTTTGTGGGTGGCCATGGAGAAATTCTACCAGTTTCTAAACAAACCTGACAAAACCTATGTACCTGAGAGCTGCCACCCAACCACGTGGCGGGAGCTGGAAAGCTGCATGAGAAGGGAGGGAGGGTGGGGGTGGCAAAGTCCTGACCAGGCTGCTGGGGGAGCCCGTTAGTGCCCACCTTGCCCTGCGCGGCCTGCACAGAGGCGGCAGCCTGCATGGAGGCGGCGTCGCGCCCGTGTTCCAGCAGCTCCTGCTCCAGCTCATCTTGCTCCTCTGTAGGGTCGAAGCTGTACATGGGCATGAGCTGGTGGCGGAGCTTCTCCAGCCTGCGGGTGGGGGCAGAGGCTGCTGGGGGCACGGCAGGCCCTTCCCCTCCCGCCAGCCCTCCAGGCCCTGCTCACTAAGCGCCTGAGTCCTAGCACACAGCTATGCTGGGGGAGGCCCCCCGCCCCCCCGCTCAGATTTCCCCTGGGATTAAATGAAAGACATTTTTTTGTACTTGTATACCACCTCCACCCTTCAGATGGATAATTACCCACTCCTGGGACCAGATGGGGCCATGGCCCACACAGGCATCATCTGTGGGATCCATGGGGACTGCCTAGGCCAGGCCCTTGTGTGATCCACAGCCTCTGGGGGCCGGGCAGGGGCGGGGAGTCAGTGACCTGGAGCTCGGGGCAGTGGAGCAAAAGTGGCTCAGCACTCCCCAAGGGCAAGCCGTCAACCCCAGCCTTCAGTGGGCAGAAGAGGAACTGGCTCTCTGACAACGGAGAGGGGCCCCGACGGTTGTGGGACTCTCTTTTCCCACCCACGGCCCCTGGAGTCCAGCCCAACACTGCCAACAGGCTGCAGTTTTGGGTGGCAACTGGGGAGTTACCTTTTCTTCTTCCTGATGTACAAAACCTGCAAGAGAAGGAGCAGTGTCAGATGGCTGGGCAAGGAGTCCCTGATTAACCAGCAGTTCCTTGGGACAAGGGACAAGCTGAGGCCGATGAACAGGAGAACTGTGGGTCCCCAAGACCTCTGGGATTCCCTCGCAGGGACACACACATCCTGCATTTGTGCTTCCTTTTGATGTGTACCAGATGCTGACGGTGCCTGGGCTATGAAGTGGGGAGCAGGCCTGCGTTCTCTCTGCCAATACAGACTGCAGCTCCAGCCACTCAGCACCTGCCTTGGACTCTCCAAGAGGGAGGGGAAGATTTCAGTGCCCCCCTTCCTCTCAACACCCCCCAGGCTTGGAGCCATGTATGGGAAAAAAAGAACAGGGGACAGGTAGTGGCCAGACTCTGCAGGGCAGTGCTTGAGGCAAGACTCTGGGCTTCTGGGGTTTCCATGGGAGGCTGATAGCCTTCAGTGGACAGGGGCTGGGGAGGAGAGCCCGAGTCCCTGGACAGCAGCCCAGACTAAATGGCAGAACCCAGATGCTGGAGGAAGGTAGGAAGGCCCCTGGGTCCTAACCTCCACTGTACAGACTTGAAGATAAAGGCCTAGGCAACCTGAGGAAACATACAAGACCCAAGCGCTCTGGGCTGGAGCAGGACATCCCTGTACAAAGCACTGAGAGATGGGGGAAGAAGGGGCTGACCACTAGGGCAGGGACTCCAGGGACCCCTGCCACCATCCGGCTGTTGCCTGAACTGGTAGTTGCTGGCCACCAGGAGCATGACCACTTCTGCCTGGGGGAAAGCCGTGCCCCTAGACTCTGTCCCTAACTCTCTGTGGCTCTCTCACACCCTTCGTGCCTCATTCGCGGCTTGAATCTGGTTCGGTTTCCAGCCTGGCCCAGAGTTCCTCCTGCTGCTTGTTTCTTGGGAAACCCCAAAGGCCTGAAAAGAAACTGAGGTGTCCCTTGTTCTCCATCCCCTCCAGGAGGTCACACGTGGATGATACCCTTGCTCTCCTGTGGGCAGGATGCTGGAGGAGCTCCAGGTCTCAGACCCAGCCCCTACCTGCCCTGCACCGGCCGCTCCAGCCCCAGCACCCTGTCTCCCTCTACTCCCTGCCCTGTGGCCCTGTCCTAGAAAGGGATCTTCACAAGAGGCCAGAGCCTTTGTCCAATCTCCAGGCTTGCCCCTGCTGTTCTCTCTGCCCCAGCTACCAACAGCACCTTCCCACATACCTTCCTTTCCAAATCTTCCCTACGGCTCACCATCCAGCTGCGGTCCTAACTCCTCCAGGAAGCCCACCCATACAACTCGGTCTCCGTGAGGCACACAGCCTGGCACTGATTTGCTCCTCCGGGTACCCAGCATGGCCCTGTTGTGGCCTGGCACGATGGCCTGGCACGATGGGGAGCCCTCAGGGAGCATCTCTGGACCTGTCCCCAAATGCCCAGGAGCTGTTTCCTGCCCTCCACTGCCTTCATCCCATAATTCTCCTACCTCTCTGGTTTGGGCAAGAAGGCCCTCTACCCTGGCCCTCTGAACGTTCCTCCAGAATGAAGCATCATGGAGTCCTCCTAAGTTCCTGGGACATAATCTCTGGCCTAGAGTTGCAAGGGCAGATTCCAGACCCCACTTTTTCCCTGAGGTAAGGCTGTTTGGGTTTGCTTCACTGCCACATGGGTGGCATGGGGAAACACTGGCGCTCCGCCTCGCCCCCGCCCCAGGAGGCCGCTCGCTCTGTGTGGTGCATCCTGGCCCTGCTTGCTGGCCAGCACTTGTTCGCTGACGGCGATCCGGAGCCTACAGGGCCCATATGGCAACCTTGGCTGGACAGCAGCTCCAGCCAGGTCATGGATGGACCATCCACAGCCCTATTTGCCAGAACAATGTGGTCCTGAACCTAAGGCTGGCCATCAGAGCCTGTGAGGGGCGGTGGCCAGGATGCCACCATTGTCAGGGCCCCTGGGGGACCTCAGGTGCACCTCCCCCCTTCCTTGTCTGAGCCAGCACCATCTCCAGCAGTCCCTCAGTGACATTTTGAGTGTCGTGTAGCAGATTAGGGGGAGGGCCCATATCTGCAGGGACAGACACCAGATCTGGAAACATCATATCCCCTATCAGGGAACACCTTCAGTCTTCACCCCAGCTCACCTCCGTTCAGAGGTCTGCCCAAGTCTGCCCCTTCTTGTGGTACTGGGGCCAGGCCTCCACCTGGGGCCAGGTCTCAGCTCTAATCTTGCCTCCTCAGTTTGTCCCTGACCACCTAGCCTAGAAAGTCTTCCTGCTCAATTCCCCAACTCAGTCCCTCCGGGCTTCCCTTGGCATCCTTGGCTTTATCGATCTCCTGTTCCCCGTAAGAACCGCCGGGCAGGCCTCAGTCTCCTTAGTCCCTGGGGACCTGAAGGTTCGGTCCAGGGCAGGGGCTTGGGAAATAGCTGGCAAGTGAATGAAGGCTGCCAGCAGCCTGCCATGCCCGGAGCAGCCCACTCGCACTGTGGCCTGTGATCTATTCCGATCGCCTTCTAGCCTCTACTCTTGCTCATCCCTCCCCGCCCTTGCCTCACGGTCCTGCCTGCTGTGCCCAGAAGCTCCTGTCCGCCTCCAAACTTTCGCCCGTCAGGACCCTCCACCTGGAACACCCTCCACCCCAACTCCTCCGTGGCCCTCATGGCCCAGTTCAAGATGCCATGTAGCCTCAGAACCCCCTCTGGTTCTTCCGGTTGGAGGCAGCGCCTCTGGTCTCCAGTGGACACATCCCTGGAGAAGGGGAAGACTGTGCTATCATTAACATTGATTCTATCATTGCTATCATTGTCTTCTGATGAGAGTGTCCCCCCACCCCTCCAACCGACAGCCACCTGGGTCAGCCCCAGCCTACCAGCTCTTACCATGGCCACAGCCAGGCCAATCACTGTGATGATCCCAAAGGACAGAAGCATTGTGCCCACACCAGCTGTACCACCAGCCACATCAGGGATTCTGGTGTCATTAAAGCTGGTGGCTTCTGTGCTGAGGGTGGTGGTCTCAGAGGCTGGCCCCTCTGTGGCAGGCTCCAGGTCAGGCTCAGAGGTGGGTTGGCGGCTGCTGAGCCAGCCCCTGGCAGGCAGGATCCTGGAGTCCATGCTGATGCTGAGAGGGCCCTGGCTGAGAGACTGCCCGTGGTCAGTCAACCTGCCAACTCGCTCCTGACATGGGTAGTACCCCAGCCTGTGGCCCCTGCTATACTTCCAGGTTGCCACCTCCCAGGAAAAAGGGAGCTCTCCGGTCCCCTGGGTGCTGGAAGAGAAAGAAGGAAAAACACGAGGCTTAGGACAGGACTCAGTGGTGAGATCAAGTACCCCTAAGTTCTGAAGGTACTGGGGAAATAAAAGTTTGAGGGCAAGGGCAAGTTCAGGGGACATTAGGACATGTGCTTTACTTAAGTACAGTTCCCATGTAGATTTAGGAAGGTGAAAATGCCCCTTCTTTGAGGGTATGATAACATAGTGATCATACTTGGAAGATATGAAAGGTAGTCGGGAGGTTAGAAAGAAAAAGTCTCTCCCCTACATAATACCCACCCTTCCGCCCCCTATTCCCCACATTTCCCACGCCCTCACTCCCTGCTCCCCATATCCCTCACCTCCTGCTTGGGGAAAACAAACAAACAAACACCGCAGCGTTTTCCTTTCCTGGAGGGAAACACTTGCCCAAGAGTCAGATGACCCTAGGCATGTCACTCCACCTCTCTGGTTCTCAGTTCCTCTGAGTCTAAGACCAAGATTAAAAACAAACAAACACACAAACAAACAAACAAACAATACCCCACCTCCCTCACAGCCTCACAGGGTTATAAGGTCACTGAAATGTCAGAATGAACTGGTCCCTAGAAAAGACCTAGCTCAGCGTAACCCCTACCTACAGTAAACACTCAGTGTATCGACTTCCCCCCCCCGCCCCCGGCCAACACACTTGAGAAAGGGGGAGCCACAGGAGCCCCTTGACCTAGCCCGCTGTGTGATCCAGGCTGTGTTTGCAGGGGATGGGGCCCGGGGGGTGGATGACAGGTGCGGAGAGACCAGAAGACGGGAAGGAGAGAGAGCCTAAAGTCAGGTCCCCTGGTAGGGCTTCTCTGCAGGCTCTTGGGGTCACTGGACCCCCATAGGGGAGCTAGGGGCTGCCAGGGACAAGGAAGGTAAGCAGGGAGCATGGAGCTCCCACTCTGAGATGCTTCTCCTCTCCCCTCCTCCTCTCTTGGGAACAGAGAGTAAGAAATGTGGGGAGACCAGGGTGTGGCTTACCTCCTCCCAGGCCAGAGGCTCTGGGTAGGGCAAAGTGGGAAGGGGTCCCAGCCACGCTGCAGAAGGGTGGGCCTAGGGAGAGGGGGGTACACAGCTCATGGCTGCACACATACATCCCTGTGCTAGCTCATGGGTGTATGTGGGGTGCCTTCCTGTGCAGGTGCATGGGTGTGTGTGAGGTGTGTACACACTTATGATGGCTCCTTAGGAAGGGGCAAGGTTGGCAGAGGGATATGGGTGCTCATCCCTCTCTGCCCTCTCTCTCTCCAGGTAGGCTGAACGCGTCAGCAATTCCAGGTTCTTTCTTGGCTCTGCCTCTGACCCCAGACATGACCTTGGGCCAGACCCTTAACTCTTGCTCTGGGCTCTGTTTACTCCTCGGTCCAAAGCAGAGAAAAGGCCCTGCTCATCACTGTCTGGTACTGCCTGAGGGTCCAAAGGGCAAGAGAAGGAAACGGCTGAGATGGGTTGGCACCGCGACCTCCGAGAACCCGCATACCATTCTCTACCAGGTTCCTCAGTCCTCCCTGCTCCAATCCCCATCCCCGCCTCTGCGACTCGGTGATTCCTCCATTCTTGCACAGAAGCTGCGACCTCAGCACTTACTTAATCCTCTCTAGGGCGCCGAGCTCAGCCGGAGAGGCTAGGGGTGGTGGCGATCGGCAGAAGGCCAGGGCCGGGGGCAGCGGGTCCGGGCCCAGGTCCGCCCTCCCAGTGCGCCCGGAGCCGCGGGCTGGGCCCGCTACAGCGCACCGCCCGCAGCCGCGAGAGCCGGCTCAGCCAGCCGGGGCTGGACAGGCCGGGCCTGGACCCACCGCGGGGGTGGGGCCGAGGCGAGTAGCCCCGCCGGTCCCCCACGCTCCAGCGCCTCGCCTCCCTGCCGGCTCCGCGCCCCCGGCTCCCGATTGGCTGTCAGGCCCACAGCCTGCCCGGCACTGGCCGGCTCGCCTGTCGCTGGATCTGGCTCCGCCCCCAGCAGGAGCCGGACACAGGGTCTCGGTTCGTGGAGACCACCCCTCACTACCCGTGGTCTACGCCGAAGTCGGGTACAGGGTCGTGGGTGGCCAAGCCCTTCCTGCACCAGAACTCGGGCGGAGCTCCACCTCCGCCGAGATAGATTCGTGCTCCCAAAACGGAGGCGGACGCTGGAGGCTCCGGGAGAGCCCTGGACTGGGAGTCCTTGGACCTGCGTTAACTCTGGCTCGCCGCTTTACTGCTTTGTGACCTAGAGCGAGATGTTTCCCCTCCCTGGAGCTCGGCTTCCTGCTCAGATGGGCTCTACTGAGAGGGTTCTTGGTGAACTACACCCAACCTGGGTTAGAAATGGGGTAGCTCAGTCCAGAGAAGTTGGGAGCTGTTGGTATTATTATTATTGGAGAGGTATTATTATTGGGCAGTCTGACACAGGCAAGGCTACATATACCCCTCACAATAGCCTCCATCTACGGCGCGATCGTCCCAGGGGAGGGGCCTTCAGATACCTTGTAATCCTTGGGTTCTCAAAGGATCTTACGAAGATCACCCCGAGAAGCTTTTGTTACAAATGCAGATCCCCGAGGCTCCCCCCCCCCCCGCCCCGGTCTGGGACCGAGTCCGGGGAAACTGCATGTTTATTAGTTAACAGTAATCTAGTTAGGGTGCCTGGGTGGCTCAGTTGGTTAAGCGACTGCCTTTGGCTCAGGTCATGATCCTGGAGTCCCGGGATCGAGTCCCACATCGGGCTCCCTGCTCAGCAGGGAGTCTGCTTCTCCCTCTGATCCTCTCCCCTCTCATGCTCTCTCTCTATCTCATTCTCTCTCTCAAATAAATAATCTTTAAAAAAAAAGTGATCTAGTTAACAATAGATTCTGGTGGGGGAGGGCGTCGGCAGGCCACACTTTGTGGGACATTGCCATGAATTTTGTAGGAGAAACTGAGGCCCACAGAGTGAGCTGGCAACACTCAGGAATCGAACACAAGTCTCCTGTGTCCAGTTTCGAGTCCCCTGCTCCAAACCCTAAAACCCGGGAGCAAAAGGGTCAAGAGCGGCCCCGGGTTCCAGTGGCCACCTGGCCCCCAGCGCGACTCGGGCCACTTCCTCGGCCAAGTCCTGGACACCGGATCCCACCCTCAAATTGCTACCCGCCCCCAACACTGGAATCCGTCCACGTGCTGCTTGGCCGGCCTTGAGGCTACGCTCGACCACGCCCCTGGATCTCGCGCCCCAATTCTCAAACCCGGAGCTGGCTGGCGACACGCCCCCGCTCGGACTGACAACACACCACCGCGGCCGGGTACCCAAAAGCCAGGTCCGCGTAGTCCTCGCGGGCTGGAGCCATGTCCCTTCTGTGACCTTCTGGAAGAATCGAGGGCCCTGGCCCCTAGGGAGCAACCTCCCACACATCCATGCACTCTCCCACCCGTGGGGCTGCAGGCGTAGCCCGCGTGGCTTTCATAGCCTACCCAGCAGTCCGCTGGAACCCAGGAGCTCTAGGAACCCTGGAGCTGGGGGGTTGCTGGATCCGCCCGAGCCCTTTCTCAGACGCACCGACCCCGGAAGCGGGGCGTCCGAGGGAGGGCACCGCGGGTCATGCACATCCGGGAGCCGAGCCCCGGCAGTTTCTGCCGCCAGGAGGGCGGGCGGGGTAACTCTTCAGGCAGGTATGCCTTAGAAATGGGAACCGGGACGGGGGCCCCTGGACTGCAATACCCTTGGGACCCCCCCCACCCCCACCCCGCGTTATGTAGATGAGGAAACAGGCTCGGGGAGAGGCGACCTCGCCTGGGTCATTAACGATGCCTTGCAGAGCTGACAGGGAAGCGGCATCCCTGACTTCGGGCCTCGGCTCCTCCTGGGGCAACGCTCAAGTGGTCAGAGCCGCCTCTGGAGTCCGGAGGACCGGGGGTTGTGTCCTGCCTGGGGCAGTTCTAGCTAGGTGATCTTAGGCAAGTCGCTTTCTCACTTGGAGCCTCCTTTCCCTCCCAGCTTGTTTTTGAAGATGTGACACCTAGCAGGTGCTCAGTACATGCTAGTTTGGACCTTGGTCCGTGCGAAGGGAAAGGGAGCCACTGATTTTAAACCTTCTGGTAAACCTTGTTTGTGACATCTTAAATATAAAGTTAACAAAAATTGTCAATTTTTTTTTTAACCTGGGAATTTATGCTGATGTTTAGGCTTATGGGTCAAGTGGAGGTGGGGACGGAGAGTTTTAGCATACATATCAGTCACAATACAAGCAAAATGTCAAAAGCAAGGCCCCCCAAGCAAAGGCAGCCTTCTCTGTCTTGTATATTAGTTAAGAGCATGTAACACTGAGTCCCTTCTGTGTGTTGAGCCGGCTCTCAGGCCCTTGGTATTCATTGTCTAACGTACTGCTTGCAATGGAGTTGGTGTTATTTTCCCCATTTCATGGAGGAGGACACTGGAACTTAGAAATGATGATTTTCCCAAGGTCACACACACTAGGTGGAACAGATCTGTTCAACCCTCAAGCCTGGGTCCGGATGCATCGCCAGGGACTGAGCTCTGGCTTCAGCCCACTTCAGCTAAAAACTTGAAGAAAACATAACTGGTCAAGACAAGAAGAATCAAATAGGTGGGTGAAGGTCTAATGGAGTTAAGGAAGTAGCAGAGCAAGAGCATGCCCTCTCTCAGGCAGCAGGTCAGAGGGGAGTGGGTCACATTAGGCTCAGCTGTTCTTCTGGTTCTCCTTCCTCTCCCAGGGTGGCAGTCACATCTGGACCAAAGCCACCTTGAGGAGTCAGAGCCTGTGACCATCTCCACCTGGTTGGTGCCAGTGATCATCTTCAGCAGCTGATATCACAAGGAAGACTTAGGGACCTGGGAGCGCTCAGGAAAGTCTTTCCTGGAGACATGGAGCTTGGGGGCCGAATGCTCTGGGCCCTCCTGTCTGGCCCTGGGAGGAGGGGAGGCACCAGGGGCTGGGCCTTCAGCTCATGGCAACCCCATCTGCCTCTGGCTGGGCCACTGAATGCCACAGAGGTGGTCAGCCACTGGACTGCAGTCTTTGAGAAGAGGGGCATCCCTGAGGCCCAGGCATCCAGTGAGTACATCGTGGCTCATGTCCTTGGAGCCAAAACAGTTAAGTGCAGAGTTGTCAAGAGGGCAGAAGAGGGGGGAGGGAGGACCCTGGGGAAGAACATCTGGGCTTTTCTGCCCCACTGAGAGTGCTGAGAGTGATGGGAATTTTCTGAAGGAATGTCTTAGGTAGATACTTATTCATTCATCCAATGAACTATTACAGTGTGTGTCAGACGGTAGGGGTCCAGGGATGACCAAGGTGGCCAATGTTGGGCCCACAGGCATTGTCCACATAAACCTGGGTCAGGCCCCTAGATTGGGGAGCCAGCTGCTCACATTCTCTGTGGGGCAGTTTCAGAGCCTGAGACCAGTACTTTGGACCCAGCCCCTGACCTCTTGGCAGCTACAGTGCATCCAGGAGCTGAGTAGCCGCCGATTGCAAAGGTGAGCACCCATGGGCCAGACCTGAGGGCTCTGTGTGGGGAACAGGTGTCTGGTTTCCCCCAGCCCGACTAATTCATCGTCAGGAAGGAGGAAAGTATCCAACGACTGGGGAGGTACTGGTATGGAGTATTGATGAGAGGGGGATCATGCGAATGGAAAGGAAAAAGGGAGGGAGGAAAGGCCTTGGCTTGGGGCAGAGTCCTGGGGCACAGGAGGCATGACCCGACCTGACATTTTTGGTATCCCACAAGTGGTATCTCTCAACCCAGTCATGGTCCTGTTGGTCCAGGCTCTGGCACTGATCACCCAGCTGCCCCCTCTGCAGGATGCCTTTGCAGTACATCCTCGGGGAGTGGGACTTTCAAGGACTCAGTCTGAAGATGGCCCCCCCAGTGTTCATCCCTCGCCCGGAAACAGAGGTAGGTGTGCCAGTAGGACAGGGCAGGATGGAGTTGAGGGTGGTGTTTAGGGCACCTGTCTTGCCCCGGACTTCCTCCAGGGGGTGCTGGGACCCCATGATTGTGGTTCTCAGAGGCCTTGCTCTTCCATACTGGTGTGTCCTGGTTGGCTGGGTAGGTGGGGCCAAGAGTGCAGGGGTCTCCTGCTGGCCTCCTTGACTGTCCTCACATCTCAGGCCACTGCCCCAGTACGCAGGCCTGGCCTACCCAATCCATGGTGGGAAAATGCCCTCCTCCTCCTCAGGAGGCATGGGTGAAGTGGATAGGGTTCCAGCTGGACACCCTGCGGCCTGGTACAGCTATGTGACCTCAGGTAAGTCACTGTCCTCTCTGGACCCAGATGATAAGAGGGTTGGGCCTTCGGACTAGGGAGGCTGTGGAAGGAATCTGTGACTTGGCAGTCCTCCTAGATCTACTGTCTGGTCAGGTAATCCCCTCCTGTCCCTCAAATTACTAGGACTAGGGATTGTGTGGCCCTAGCATGCTGTCCCTGGGTGAGGCACCCTTATTCTGGGAGAGATGCTTTCTGTGGCCCTTCTTGGGCTTCCCCCTGACCTTATAAGGAGTGACAGAGAGCAGAGCAGGTGAATGGTGAGTGACAGAGAGCAGAGCAGGTGAATGGAGCCGTGTGTGGGCTGATGGGCAAGCTAGAGGGCACCAGGTTCTGAGGAGGGGTGTTTCTCGAAAGGTACCCAGGCATACAACCATTCCTGGGAAAGATCAGCCTTCATTCACCTGCCCAAAAAGGGACCCAGAGCCCCTCCTCACTTTCCTAGCCTGTCTCGCCCAGCCGAGAAACCCTCTGACCACATGCACTTCCACATCATGTGGTTGAGAAGCCAGGT